TTTTCTCTACAATTTCTGTTTTTTTCTGTTTTATATTTTTTTACAATTCATTTTACATTTTTTCTGAATTTTTATATAATTTATTACAAATTTCTGTATTTTTTTGTCGCAATATATAATTCTATACTTTATGCAATTAGGACATAGATTTTTTTTTTTTTAAATAGAGGGTCAAGTGAGTGGGTGGTGGTCATGGTCAAAGTGGTTGTAACCCACTCTGACGTAACATGGGTGACAAATGGGTTAGTGGGTCGGTATGGGTGGGTTAGTACTCAGCACTCACCCAACCCAACCCAACTCGCTCATTTGCCACCCCTAGGTGTAAGATACACCTAGAGAAAAGGCCATTAGTATAAGTGTATGATATATACCGGTAGTCCTTGTCCATCATATAGATGAGATATGACAATACTTCCGTCACTATATAGGTTTTATAGTTCTTTACTATTTTCCTTTCTTATAACCAAGGTTTAAAAGGCTAAAGACATAGTCAAGGTTCAAAGTATCGACATAGGCTAATATGCAAGGCTAAAGGCATAGTCAAGGTTTAAAGTATCGACACAGGCCGATATGCCAATAGGGTGTGTATCGGCCTATACCAGTACTTTTTTTAGGTTTTATTTATTTTTTTCGAAATCAATTTAGAGGGGTCAGTTTAAGGCCCGACTACCCTCTGAACCATAGTCAGACCCAATACAACCTCTGGAGGGGCGTATTAGGAAGCCATCAGCACGATACGTATCGGCCGATACGTATCGATACTTTGAACCTTGGGCGTAATTTAGGCAAATGGCCCAAAAAGATGAGACATAAGCCTCAAGGCGTTGTGAGTGTAATCCTCAAAGCTTAAGAATAAAATAAATAAAATTTTATAAATTGATGAAATAACATATATATACCAAGATAAAATGATAGAAAGTATAAATATCCATAGAACAAAAATTTATAAGGAATATGTTTCATTGTTTAATCATTAAATAAAACAATAACTAATCAACTAACAACAATAAACATTCTACATTTCATGGTTCAAAGTGCAAGTTTCTCAAATAATTCAAATGATCAATTTAGAAGAACAACAAACATATGAAGAATCATCCATATAATTGGGTATTAGATTTATGGCAATGGTTTAGAAGAGAGAAAACAACTTAGTTAATTTGATCTATGAAAAAATAATAATAAAATAAATAAATCCATTAGGAAAAGAAATGAAAAAAACAACAAACTTGGGTATAATAATAATAATAATGATGATAATAATAATAATAATAATAATAATAATCTCACTTGATATATCCAAGAGAAACTAATAGAACTTACCCCCCCCCCATTTTATTTCTTCGCTACATCCATTTTATTTGTATTGATTCCGATCAATCAATCGAATGTCAATTTTTACTCTTAGGTTCTAATTCCCAGGTTTCTGATTATTTCCAATAGGGATCCCGGGATCCCTCAAAAGAATAAAATAAATGGAGGAAGAATAGTAATATTAATATATTCTATAAAAAGAAAAAAACCAAGTAATCCATCTCTTTTTTAGCATTCCAAAGCCAAAGAAAGAATTGATTGAGCCCCTATTGGTTTTCCATTTTTTTACTTTTTTATTTATTTGGCCCATAATTTTTGAAGTGCTGCATTGACAAATTGCAAAGTTGGGTTAGTGTTGCATTGACAAATTTACCTTCTTACCAAACATACTTTTAGCTATAATGGATGCAAACATGAATTCCAATAAAGCATATGTCTTTTTTTTTATCAAAAGTCCACTTGAATACAAATTTACTTCTTTTTTATTGATGTAATTTTACAACTTATTATCAATGTACATATGCATTGGAAAATGTGTTTTCTGTCATTTGTCAATGCATAAATGTAATGTTGCCAAACACAGGCAAAAGTGAATCAGAGTGCAAATTACCCTGAACCGAGATTTACACTCCATTTGCATCGTTTTCAAACACAGCCTTAAGAACAAAGACAAGCAAAATCTGTGCATCTTGCCTCAAGGTATACTCATACCTCAAGGCTTAAGCCTTTTAAATTAATGCATATAATTACAATGTTAGAAAAATTAAAGATTTAATATATACAACACTTGCACATTATTTTACAAAAAGAACATACCATTAACATTCTAAACACTCGATCATGAAAAAATAGTACTACGAGAGAAATTTATGGAGAGAGAGAGATGACCATATCATTAGGGCTGTCAACAGGTAGGGTTAGGGTCTGGGTAGAGGCCAATTAGAGTCAGAACTGACCTGACATGAAATATTGAAGACTTGAAACTGAACCGGAACCTGATAGGGCCTGTAATTTTTAGCCCCAGAACTGAACTGATCAGTTGTCTAGACAATCGGATTTGACCAATGGACCCAATTATAATATATATGTATATATTTAATCTATATTAGACATTATATACTATATATTATATATTTTATATATATGTATATAGCTCGAGTCGGGTTTGAATCAGTTTGGGACTGAATGAAATCAATTCAAAACTGACAATAAACAAGACACAATATTAGGACCCGAAACCGACCCATCAGTCCAATTACTGGAACCAGAACTGGCCCAATCAATTCGGGTCCGTTGTATGGGACCCAACCCATTAAAAGCCCTACATATCATCAAGTAGCCTGCTTTTCCAAAAGATAGGTCTTCTAGAAAAAGTTACATCCCACTTAACTGCTAGCTTGTTTTGGTAACTATATCTATCTTCACCTGCATACAAATTTTAATGAATAATAAAAAAAAATATAACACTTAAAATAAAATTCTACAAATAAATAAAATAAAATAATAATTTTGTTAATGAAAGTGATGATTCAAATCGGAAGAGTTCCACTAAAGACCTAAAGCAACCATTTCATAGAAGAAAAAGACAATCCAAATATTAGAACTTGGAAATAATCATTGTAGTAAGTGCTAAAAATAGGTCATTGGGAGAGTTTATTTCTTCTTCTCATAAAAGTAAATAAATTATAAATAGAGCAAAATTAATGATTTTTTAATCCTTTTTCTAAACAATACTACAATGTTAAAAACCGCCCTCCCCTTTTCTTTTGACTTACTCAAATCAATCAATACATATTATTCCAACAAGAAATAACCTCCTGAGTTCAAAGATATTAGATTATATTACTCAAGGAAAACGCAAATTTGCACCCAACCACAAACTTCGCAAAAGGATGAATACACACACCAATTGTCTCCAAAAGCATCAAATAAGCCCAAAAATTACATATGTAAGATAAATAAGTGAACGTATACTCATACATATGGCAACACCCACGAGAAGATATAATTGGCCTTGGTGAGTTGGTACCTAAAAAATTGATTGGGCAACAAATCTCTGGAATAAACAAAAAGTCTATATCTAATCCACTAAAACTGAAAATAAAATAAAATTCATTAGACTTGTTTAATTCATTCACCATGTAGATTGAAAGCAGGCAACTAAGATCAGAAAGTTGTGTTCCCTAATTCAGATGAGTCCTGATTTGGTTTGAATTATAAGATATGTTTGTTAATTAATTAACCTGTTTTTATTTAATTTATGCATGACTATGTTGGAAAAACTATTTTCTTGGTGCAAAAGAGGTTTACATGTCAAAGTCCTATGGAACCACCTGCTTTAGATCTAGAGTAGGAACAAAACCTGTGTGTTCAAACCAAACATGAAAACTAAACTGCTCTTTAATCCGTGTGGTGGGTACATATAGTTCAATATATGGGTTAAATAAGTTAATCAATGGTTTGAAAATAATAAAAAATTAGATACATCTATAAAATTGTATATTTATTAAACAAAAACAAGTATGATAATTATAAAGAATTTTATTAATGATAAAAGTAAAATACAAAATTTAAAACTAACCCAAAAACAAAACCCTTTTCCTATTTAAGCGACGGTTCAATGATTGAACCTTTTAAATCAACCCATCAATTTATATTACCATAATTAAATAATAAACTTAAAAAAGATAAAAGACAAATTATTAGAAATTTTACATTGCTTTAGTTTTGACAACAGTTTAAGTGGAAAACACCAACCGTACCGAACACAACGTTGATCACAAATAATGTGTATGTTTGGATAAGAAATGAAGAAACGATGCAACTGATAACTTGTTTTTTTATCATCTAACAATCCTCATTGTCGATAAWTTTTTTTTTTATTTTTTTTGTTCCAATTTTGCGTACAAAATGGAACCACTCTCCATGCCAAACGATATATATGAACAATTCTTGACCTCTACATCATTCAGATCAACCCATCAATGAAAAAAATTAAGAAGAAAAAAAAAAGAAAAAAGACTTGGTTCAAAATCACCGACTCTCATTGTCGGCTACCCTATATCCTAACCCAACCTAATCCAAACCATCTCATCAAGAACAGAAAAATATGGTAAATTGTGCTTTGGGTCAAGCAGAGGCATCAGAGTCTGAGGATGCGAAAAATTAATTCATCAATAAAAAAAAAAAAAAAAAACAAAAAACTCAACACACAGAAGATAGAAGATAGAAGAGGGTCCTCCAAGCTCCAACTACCATATTCTAATCACAATAATGATGATGAGGATGCATCATCCTCCAAACAAACAATGCTTAGAAAAAGGTTCCTCTTCCTTAACGTATCACATTATTCAACTAGACGAGGAGACGCTCTTAACGCCTAAGCCTAGCCAACATTACAGAATAGGACCACTTTTTTATGCATTATTTATTAATTTATTTATACTAAGTTACTAAGAAAGGTGATAAACGAAAACAGTGGTGGTTGTGCCTTGTACATATTTGCTGGTCTCTTCAGTCTTAAGAGTTGGAAAGTCGTTTTCTTCTCCTACCTTTTGGTGCGGTTGTTAAGTAACCAAACTCCATTATTTATTATTATCAGCTTTAATTTCCCTTCAAACATGTCTATTCTCTTATTCTCTTGAGCAGCAGCAGCACCTAGCTAGCGCATTTCCAAAGTTGCCCCCCGCTCTCAGCACTTTAGCAGGAAACATGCCACTTAACCACGGTGGGCAGTTTTGTAAAATTAATGTATCATTGGCAAAGTTGTGGAAAGATGGCATTCCATAATTATGCAAAGATATAAACAAATATTAAGAAGGCATGTGCATGTGGTGGCGTAATTGCAAGGTGGAAGGAAGATTATTATCTTTTGTTTACTTTTCTGTTTCCACTTTCCATCCCCTCCCATTCTCATTTGTCCTCCTCCTCCTCCTCCTCCTCCTCGTCATTCTGCTCTCTGAAGATGGACTGCTCTGTCTGCAGTCCGGTGCCGATAATCTTAAGGCCTCACAGGAATACAATATGCCCGGCTTGCTATGAAGGAGTAAGAAGCATTATGTCCTTCTTAAACAAGCTAGAACTCGATAAATGCATCGATAATAAATCCAACGCTGCTGCCCCTCCAGCCCAGTCCAATTCTTCCAAGGCAAGAACTGCTTTCATCCTTTCCTTTCTCGTTTCATTGTTGTTTTCTTTCTATTTTTCCTTTCTCGTATTTGATTGTTGTGGGTAAAATTGATGGCTGGTGTGAACTTAATTAATTTTCGACTTGTCTTTCTTTTCCCAATTCCCAGTAGAGTAGACTATGTGTTGCTTTGATCGGCCAAATAGCATAGCAAATCCTCATTTCTGGTCCGTTCAAATACAGTTTTTATCGTACGTACCTTATATCTCAATTATCTATGAGTCTACAAGGAACTTCAAGTACCATCCGTCCCATCTACTCATACCTCAAAATTTCCCCTGCCGTCGTGTCTTCGAAGACCCAAATGACCGGTCAGATACCACAATTTCATAGGTTGAATCCGCTAGCCTATATGAGTCTGAGCTACCATCGCTCTTGGGCGTCGGAGTTCGCTTTCGCTCCTTCCACGACGCTCAGGGAAATCAGATTTCCTCCTCACGGATGTTTCCAACTTGCGGCTGAGGTGGGTGCGAGGACCAATTCTGTGAGAGGAAATCCGACCTTACGCTCTCTGGGATTGACACGTTTTGAGGCCTTTGTGAGCTTATGATTATTGTCCGTTGAAACGAGGATTTTCTCCGATTGTGCATTTAAAACAACTTTATATTCGTATGTTTTTATTTATTTAGGGGAAGATATTCCATTGCTCAGCTGCAGATTGTTTAGGCTCAGTTTAATTAGAAAGAGTACGAATACAAATATGTATATTATAAACACATATAGAATAATACAAAATACAAGATTTTATATTTTATGTATTTGTATTTATATTCTATTTAGAACGAATATAAATACAAATATGTATATATATATATATTGTATTTGTACTCCTTCCAAATTTAGCCTAATCTTTATGTAGAGTGCAAAATCTTATATTTTATATTATTTTGTATATATTTATACTTATATATTTGTATTTGTATTCCTTTCAAGGCCCAGTTTGAAAAAAGTACAAATGCAAATATATATAATGTAAATACATATAAAATAATAACAAAATATAAAGTTTTACACTCTTTATTTGCATTTGTACTCCTAAACTGAGCCTAAATAAATACTGAAAGATCAAAAAATAAATTCCTGAGATGGCTACCAACAGCCCAAACCATGAAATCAAAGCCTTCGATGAAGAGTTAAAATCAGAGTGCCCCCCACAAGAATGTGCCCTACAACATTTCAAAGCACATCCTCGCCGTGTATTAAGAACATCTCCAAATGATAACATTATCATTTCTGAAATTACCATTAGAAGATATTTTTAATACACCGCAGAGATGTGCTCTGGAACGTTGTGGGGCTGATTTGATGTCTTCGATGAATTGTTGTGGCCCCCCTTGAACTAGACAAAATAACGTCATGGTAGAACCACAGCGATAAGTCCAACAATCGCAGTTTTAGCACCTCCCACCTGCGTTCATGCTAAGTCCTAACTACCGACTCTATGACTGGTTAATCCAATTATTCATGTTCAAAATTAAAATCATCAAAAGAATAGAATATAAAAGGAAAAAAAAAAAACTGACAAATATCATCTAACTGCAGTGTTAAAGTAACACTGGGACCGATCAGTGTTTCATGCATATGAAGATCCACACTTTATATGTGCAAAATACTGATGTATTCACTTTTGGTGTTTGGCTTTGGTTAGTGAAAGCCCGTGCTCATACCGTTCCAATCTTGTATCTGAAATATCTCTCCATAAAATAAAATATATAAATATGAAAATATTTCGAATACAAGGCTATAAAAGCTGTTCGAATCGGCGTTACATAGACTGAAACCGAACTCTCAGAGTTTTAATGGATTCCCTAGCCTAGTGTGCACAACTTTGACTTTTCACATATACATGGGTTACATGGACAATCTACAATGGATGTTACGTTTTATCGTTTTGTGATTTAGGGGTGCAACTGAAAAATTCGGTTGGATTGGGTTAAAGGTCGTTCTAGTACTAGGGTTGAGGCCTTGAGCGACCAACCAACCCAAACCAACATTTTTTATTAACTTTTTCGTGTGTTCGTGTATTTATGACTTATTAGTATATTAAATAGATCATAAAAAATTGGATTTTTTTTTAAGGCAGGAAAGGTGTTGATCAATTTATGATATTGGATCTTGGCATATAGTGGCATATTGTATGAGATGACCAATTTAACTGGTTTTCTCTAGTTAGATGTAGAGATCATATGCCCTTCATTGACTAGGGATATTAAGCTTCCAATTCCAAAGCTTTTTTTTTTTTTCAATTTTCCTATCTGAAAAATTTTGCATTCTACCAATTTATCACATGGGATATTCTTAATTTGTTATAGACTTCACTCTGGATTTGCAAAATCGTCTATCAGGAGTTTTTAACCATACGATACTCTTTTGTCCTTAATTTTTTTAGTTTGAAAAATGATAGGTATGTAGGGAAGATATTAATGCTTAAACCAACTAAAAAGTTGTAAGTTCCATTATTTAGGGTTTCAGAGACCCTACTTTGCACCTTGTAAGACTTCTTTCTGCAAAACCAGGAAGTCCGTTTCTTACTACGATCAGATTGGTTGTTGGTGTAAATTTGTCAACTGGGCTGGAATCAGCCCTAACGCAATAGCCCAGTCAGCCCAATACGGAAAAATTACGACCCACCCAACAAAATATTCGGACTGGACACTGGACAGTTGGTAATTGCTATCAGGTTGGCCCAACATGTTACAATCATAGCACTGCGAAATAACAGAAGTGACTACATCGCTGTCGTTGTGATTTTTATGTATATTAAATGTATCCTTGTGGGAATAATCAATCTTTTAATAATTTTACAAGCGGTTGGAGAAAAGAATCACGATTAGAGCTACGTTTGATGGCTGTGTTAGGGGCTGTTTAACCAATAATAACGCCCCACGTAGCAAAAACTTTATACATAATCCAGTCACATATTGGCAACATCTTCCCATGAATTTAGCACACAGGTATGGGAGATGTTCTTAATGAGAAGAATTTTTGCTTACAACAAATCCGAGTTCCTAAAAAAGAGCCACTTTAGATAATACATGAAAGGTTGATGATTTATAATTATGGGACTTTGTTTTAATTTTTCATGGCAAATGAAGTTGGATTTTTTATTTTTAGGGAATTGCAAATGCGTTGAAGTGGATGAAAGAGATGAAGGAGATTGAAGAAGGGTTGAATGAGAAACTGGCTTTCCTTAGTGAGTTAGTTGTTGCGTTTAGAGATGGAGTCCACACTGATATTCAAGTGAAGCCAGGCAATGGACCTGCTATACCGGCCCATCGAGCTTTGCTGGTGAGTTCTTTTCTATAAGCTGTAAATTAATTCTTTATGAGTTATGACAATGCCAAAGTAAGGGAAGGTTGATTGTCATTTTGGGTTGGCAGAGTATCTGTTTTAGTTTCTCACAGCCATTTCAAATCCTGTACTTCTTTATGAAGGTGCATTATTAGCCACCCAAAAGAAAGCCATCTCTCAGATTGCTACTTGCTAGTAGGGGTGATCATGGACCGGGCCGGGCCTGATTTCAGGCCTATAGATATATTATGTATTATAGGTGTAACATATAAATATATGAGGACTGGGCCTGAGACAAAACCTAGGCTCAATCACAAAATTCTGGGCCGGGCTGAAGATGATCACCACTAATTGCTAGTTCTTTATACAGAGTTATTTTATAGAAAAAAAAAAAAAAAAAAACACTGGGCTGGGCTGGGATGACAGTATCAGGCCTGACTAACATTCCCAAGTGTGGACCAAACACTTGATTATGTGCCATTGTTTCAGAAAAAAAAAAAATGATGATGAATGTTGAGTTTTGATGATGAGTTGATTCAAATGTTGCAGGCATCAAAATCCAACATTTTTAAGAACATGCTCGAGTCTGATGGGTGCAAAGCTCCACCAAATGATACAATCTGCCTGCCAGAATTGAACCACGAGGAGCTTGAGTCCCTCTTGGAGTTCCTTTACAGCGGAAGCTTGCCAATAGAGAAGATAGACAAGCATGTCTATTCCTTGTCGATGGCAGCTGACAAATACGAAATCCCGTTCCTGCAGAAGTTTTGCGAGCAGCGAATGCTTGAGTCCCTGGATTCGTCTAATGTACTTGATGTTCTAGAGATCTCAGAAGTTTGTTCCAACCAATTACTCAAGGAGACTGCCTTGAACTTGGTAGTAAAACACATGGAAGATGTAATATTTTCAACTAGATACGATGCTTTTGCATTCAAGAACCCTCATTTAAGTGTACAAATCACAAGGGCTCTGCTGATTGAGATGAAGAACAGAAAAAGTGTTGATTGATTGAGAGAGAGAGAGAGAGAGAGAGAGAGTATACCAATTAAAATGGCACCAAGCGATTAATTTTTTGAATCTTTTATTTTGAGAGTTGATGTTCCCAACCAATGTCCTCTCATGTAAAAGAGATTAATATAGATATGACTTTATACTGTCTAAGATATGCTCCCGACATGAAAATCATCACATATGTCCCACTTGAAATTCCATCTTGATCATACTAGTAAACTGTAGATGGATAGATCATTGATAGCTCATCTAAGATAGTTAATTAGTGATACAGTTTTACTAGTTAAAATAATACATTTCTACGTGAGGTGTCGTTGGCTTGAAGACTTAAAAAGTTCAACCTTAGTATCATTTAAAGATGGTGTACAGTAATTCCAAGCTCAACAGACATTCCATGTTTTCTGGGAAATACTACCAAATCCCAATTAGTTCCTTTACATACATACAAGGTTCTCTCATGGTTCTACCTAGCTTCTACTTGATTCTTTAAATCCTGATGTACAATAATGCTCTAACGCAAATATGATAGTCTCGATACGTATGTGTTTAGTGGCCGACCAGCCTCTCTGCTCCACATGCGTACAGATGTAGAGCAGTTTATCAGCATTTGGCTTCTTTTTCTTTTAGTAAGAAACTGATTAGTCGGTCTTAAAGTCCAAACCATTCCTTCTGGGTGATCAGTTACAGCTGATTGGCCCATTGTTTCCCCGTTCCGTTCTCTATTTCTTTTATACAAATGGAAAACGATGTGTTTAAATTTTTTTATAGGAGCTTCCCAGAAACTAGTTAGTTAAATATCATTTTCAATGAATGTTATTGTTTATATTTATATAGCAATCACTAAAATGCATCATTTTTCTTGAAAACGAACCAGTTTGACGATTCCGTGTAAGTACAAACTTTATCACTTTCATTTTTCAACTACATTCCTTTGAACTAATTTTTTGTAAACAAATTTAGGTTTATTTATTTTGGCAATACTAGAAGATGGGTAATGAGAGAAAACGATGTAACATTGAAAGGTCTATACATCTCTTAGGAAGACCATTATTTTAAGTGTTAACACCACTTCATCCCTAACACTTAAGTTCTTTGATTGGATAATGGATTTTCCTTAGGTGTTAATCCGAGTCAAACTGGTGTTTATGGTTATGGAAATAAGCCAAGTTTTGTGTTACACAATCAAATGGCTTCCTATATTCAAAAATTTATTTTTTTTTTTCTTTGAAACCAGATAACCGACAAAAATTAATTGGCGTCTACCACGATTCAACATATTTAATTTTCATTCACACGTTTTAGATATTTCCGCATTGCTACCATGGCAGCTTGAAATGGTCTCAAACTTATCCTTGGCTGACCCTATTGATCCTATTGTTGATGTTGATTCATCTCAAGTTTAGATTGACAAAATTATAAATAAATCCCCTTCCAAACAAATGTTAGAGGAGAGAGGAGAATATGTATCATGTAGGTAGGTAGGTAGACTTTTTGCTTTCCCTTTGCAATTAAAACTCACTACATAATAATAATAATAATAATAATAATAATAATAATAATAACAATAATAATAATAATAATAATAATAATAATAATAATATAGTTTTAGGATTAAAGGGGCCTTTCAAAAGGCTACATCTATTTTTAGGAGATACATTCCTACTTGCTTTTCAAACTCACGTACCAATTAATGTACCATGAAGTTACCATGCCATTAAAAGATAAATGCATGCTCCATTTTTTAATTATGCTTTTATGAATGGAAAAGTTGAAGAAAATTCGAATGCTTTTGACATGTTTTTTTAAAGAATTAATTCTGGTGAATTTTGTGGTTTTAGGAATCATTTTTAAGTTTTAATATATGAAAATCATTGGAGCTAATTCCTTTTTTTTTTTTTTTTGCTTTTTTGACCTTTAGCCAGTGAAACTCATCCTCCAAATAGTGAGTGATTCCATGGGTGCTTGACCGAGTATCAATCTCTGAAAATGGGGGTGCAGGATAAGCCTACGTTCTACCAAAAAAAATTTAAGCCTATATATGTAACTGCAGGTTCTTCGATCAGTGGCAAACCCGATTTCCTGCCCACACTCTACCCACCTCGAATTCCAACCACACATCCCCATCTTGTATTGTAAGATGTGTTCCTGCAGTGTATTTTGCGTAGGGCACCATAGAGAAAGTGAGTAAGAAATCTGGACTCGGTTAGTGAACCTCATGTGCACCGTGAACCATCAATGTGTATTATGTAATACCAAAAAGGAAAAAGAAGTGATTCTATGAAAAAGTATTTTAGCCAAATAAGGCCTTAGTTGTCATAGCACAGAACTCCTAAGGTGCTCATCTATGCAAAGAGATTGATACTGCAATTGTCGATATTGGTGTAATGGTAAAATCTAAATAATGCTGACATGCCTGATGAATTCTAACCAAAGGGTGGCCACTTTGTGCGATAAAAATGTCAATGGTTGGTAGAATCATACCCAAAACCCTATATGGATTTTTTTGGTAATAAAGTAGAGGAATTTGATTAATTAGAAAATCACGAGGGTACAAATTATCGTAACAAGCACCAATAAAAGGCCGACACACAAATTAAGGTGCCAGATGGATCTTTTTGGTAACGCCCGGGGCTACACAACATGGGCAACCTCTCCCAAACTCCTAACCCCCCGCGCCAATCCTTATTTCATCATCTCCCCTTATTTTTTATTTCTTCCATTAATAAAATCCTTTGGGCACAAATAAATGAAGCAGATAGAAGAAAGTGGGCTTCACAAAATAAATCTTTCTAGTTGTACGATCAAATTAATTAAATGACAATGCATTGAAGCCCAATTGCTAAAGAATCTATGTATATTACATTGAAGGTCATATATATATATTTCATTTTTAGCGGCCCCCAATATGGCCAAAGGAGACAAAAGTTCTGGCGCCAATGCACAAGGTGTAAACTGATACAGTTGCTTAATTGGTCCTGTCTATATAACTAACTAACTAACTGTATATATAGTCATCAATGTTTAGAAGGAATCTCATATTGATCTTATTACTGTCTATATATATATATATAAATCACTTCCATTATGGTGTCCCGGACTTCAATTGTAAAATTTGCACCAAAAGAACCATGGGTAACTTGATCACGCAGAAGATTAATATTTTGCTTGATTAGACAACTCTCCTCAAAGGGGAAAGAAACCCAGAAAATTAGGTAAAACAGAAGCAAAGGAAATATAACAAAAGAGATCTTTGTTCTCTATTGTTCTTGTTGATCATTACTTTCACTCCAGTTCTTGATGGCTTGCAAAACTGCTTGTTTCACCACTTGAGCATCTATGCTTTCAACTTGCCCTTGACCCTGAAAAATATGAGTTAATATAAGTTTTGGTTCAATGGCATTACATTGAGAAATTAATAAACCAAACATAAATGCATGCATTCAGGGGTCGGTGCATGTAGGGATGCATATATGCAATTATTAGAAATGTATACATATATACATATAAGCAAACATATTGGGTGCATTTTCTGCATGTAGGGTAGCATATATATGGGGATGGGATTGGAACTCATCCAATTGCAAACATGGTCCATGAAAATCTGTCTTGACACTAATCACCCATTATTTTTTGTCCCCACCTCTAAGAATCACAAAAATACATATTGTGTGGTTGGAACACCATTAAAAATGTATGCACAAGCACGTGACATTTGTTTGAACACACATGCTTGTACTAGAGGCCTACCAAAATTATTCAAGTTTTCTGTGATACTTAATTTAGAACAAKTATGTTATAGAGAGAGAGAGAGAGAGAGAGAGAGAGAGAGAGAAAGAGAGAGAGAGAGAGGAGAATAAACGGAAATAAGTTGTGTAAATATGAAAATTGAGAGACTGGTTTACATTCTTACTTCTCCTCCAACTGCTTCTAGACGAAAACTGTCAGTACAAGAAACCCTAGCATCGAGCACGTTCAGACCCAGTTCCTCAAAGGCTTCCAATATAGAGACAAGCAAACCGGGGCAACTCTTCTCTGAAAACACATTAATTAAGAAACCCTTTTCTATGGTTTCTACTGTGACCTGCTGAAGAATGGATTGGAAATACAGATTTTGTCACTTCACTGATAAATCACAAACCCAAAAAAACGAGAATTCATCAATGGGAATTAATTAAATTAGAATTAGATAAAGAAAAGAGAGAGAGAGAGAGAGAGAGAGAGAGAGAAGGTTGGAATATACCACTGGTAATGGAGTTTGATCATTTGATGAGTTCTGTGCAGCCGCAATATCTTGATTAAGTTTTTCTACCTTTTCCTTCAACTCTTCTATATACTTGGATGCATCCACTATAATTGAAGTTTTGTTTAGCTGCCACACAAAGAGAATAGGATATTAGATAGCAGTTGCACCAATAGCTTGGATGGGTTTCTCTTCTTTTCCATTATAAATAAATATAGAGCTAGAGATTATTTTTATATCTTCCTTTGTGAGGATTCTCAAAATAGATTAAAAAACAGCTGGAATTTATATTTTCAGACAGATAGCATAAAGATTGTCTTAGACAAGACAGTATGGATAGAGAACCAAACAATTTAGAGACAGGATGATATATATTATGTGTTTATATATATCGTATCTCATGTATTTTGCAAAAGAAGAATGAAAGAAAATAAGATGGAGAAAGAATCAATTTTGAGAGAGAGAGAGCATAGAATTATTGTATAGTGGAAAAGAAGACAGTTTAATGGAGGTCTGCAAATAAGAGTTTGGTTCAAGAAAAACTAGTTTAGATGTTAATAGATATATATTAAAGAAAGAAAGAAAAAGTTAGAGAAAAACAAAATGAAAGAGGGATTGATACCCATGGAATGAATACACAGCTAATTAAAGAAAAGTAATAGAAGAAAGACAGTAAAAGCAAGGGCTTCAGAAATATAAGAGAATTACTGCGTGAGAGTTTGTAACAGAACGAAGTAATTGCAGCTTCTCATATAAAACTGCTCTTTTGTGCTCCCTCGAAACCATGATGCTTGCCTGCTCGCTCTCTCCTCTCTGAAAAGCTTCGGGCTCTTTTAAATAGGGGGGGGGGGGGGNGATGAGCCCTCAAATCTATGTGATCACCTGTTTGCTTCCCACATGAGTGCCTCAGCTTTTCATAACAAAATATATAATTTATGTGGATCAAATTACCATATTGCCCTTTGTCTTGTAGCATCTACAGCTGTATATAAATATGAAATGGACCCAGTTCATGAATTATCTTCTCTTAATTTTCTCCCCCATATATATTACTTTGGAAGCCATGGTGTTGAGGAAATTTGATTAACGTATAACAGCAAGTCATATTGTGAAACTAATAAGATAGTTAAGCTAACCCATTTAGATATAATCCACCACCAATCATACCAATTCCTTGTTTAAGTATTGTATTAGCTGAAGATAGAAAGTCATTAAGGTTGATTAACAAACGGCACTTGAGATTTAATTGCTTTACAGTACAACTTATTAAATGACTTTTTTCCATATATAGAAGTAGTGCAATTAATTAATATAATTGTTTGAGAACATCGCTAATATTGCAGATAGGATAATGTTCCATGGTTCAAGAAAAAAAAAAAAGAATTCCTTCCTTTAAAAGAAAATTAAAATAAAGTCATTGAATTCCTGAAAAGAAAATACTAAAAAATTATAGGCAAAAGGTACAGTATCTGGTTTTGCATGCATTAGAACCCGTGATTTCTCTAGCTTGTCATAAAGGGAAAATATATGAATATAAAAATAAATAAGGCAACATCTCTTGGCCAAGAATGGAACCAACAAATCAGGGTTTTCTTTAATTAAATGTATTATTTAAAAGTTCGTACAGGTAATATGAAAGAGAAGCGATCAAGTATAATGGTGGCATTACCAATATCTTATTGTTTTTCGTTATCTCCAACTATCATTTAAGTAATTAAGTACCCACTTCCACTACAATTAATTATATATATATATATATAATAACATTAATGTTAAATTAATAGGAAGAAAATGGTATTTAATTTAATAAAAACATTTTACTAACATTGTGAAGCCCATTTGTGAATATCATAATTGGAGGAAATAATAAGAGGGAAGGGCAATGAAGACATTTTGGTAAATTTGGGTGGGAGGGTAGGAGAATAGCGTCTTGCATGGGAAAGGGAAAGAGAGGGGTTGTGGAGAGAGAAAGATGGAGTGGGGCTAACGCGGAGGAATCTGCTCGTGATCGGGGCGCCATCGAAAGCTGCGAAGGAAGCGTCAAAGGATGTTTAGTTGTGAATGCCTCCAAACACTCCTCACGGGGGTCGACTCTCTCTCTCTCACTCGCTTGCTAGCTCGCGCTGGCCGTCACCCGTCACCTTTTTTGTCCTCACCTTCTCTCTCTCCTCTTCCTCCTCACACGTGCCATCTACTCCAATTTCTCGCACCCCACCATTCCCCAGTTTCTCATGACTCATGAAAGACCGAGAGTCTGAGAGAGAGAGAGAGAGAGAGGGATAAATTCAGTATTTCCCTTAGCTAGCTAGCGACTCCTTGAAAGAAATGGAAAGAAAATGTTAGAGGCAAAATGAAGTGAGGGAGAAGAAAAAGGTCAAAAAAAATTCAATCTGTAAAGCGCTAGGTTAGACCACTTTGTCTAATGGGACCTACTAACACATAAATCTAAACCTTTATATGTAGACTGGTGCATCACTTTCTGTTGAGAATGTTTCAAAATCAGGGTTCTAAAAGGGCTGCATATTTTTTTTTTAGAAACAGTTGCATCTGGTTGGACAAAAAAGTGCTTCCGATGAGAGAATTTCAAACACTGTTTGCTAATATTGTTCCTTACATATATCAGATTATTAGCTAACTAGAGATTAAGAATCATACATCTCCACTTTAATAACATGCGAATTGTCTTAACTTAGAACTAGTCTAGGTTCTATCTGTCTGCAGTGATGATATACCATCACCTTCGTGTGCTAACCAATGAACCTAGCAAAAATAGAAAACAAAGTGTATTTTCGCTGTACAGAATTACAGATACTCATACACTAGTTAAACCAAGAAGCTGTCTTTGCATGTGAACTCTGCCTTCCTCTTAGGCCTGTCAATGGACCAGGTCTTGGCTACATTGGGGTAGATCCGGTCCCAAAAGGATAGAAAAAAAAAAAAGAAAGGATAGACCCTAAACACACTCCATTATTCAGGTTTACCGTATCTGACCCAGCAATAAGTCCCCAACTTTAATTGACAGACCTTCAACCTGGTAATTTGACAACAAAACCTGGCATTTCTTCTCTTTTCTCTCTTTCTTAAATTATTCTCCATAAATTTCGGGCATCTCATATCATCTTGAAGTTATATTACAGATAAACAATGGCAAAACATAAATAAAAGGTTTGAATATCTTTGTGATTAGTTCAGGTCTTGCTCGGATCAGAACAGGCAAAACTGATCCAGGCTAAAAACGCAGACCTACACCCTAGCTAACTAATAGGATTGGATTGGTTCAGGTCTGTCAGGTAGACCCAGACCATTGACAGGCATATTTCTTGCACTTCTCTCTTGTTTATTTAATTTTTATAACTTTCAACTGCCTGACATATAGCTCTTTACTTCTTCTTTTTTTTGGTTAAACATATAGATATATCTTTACTTGAAAACTAGCTAGGAGCTGGAAATCTCAATGGTTAAATATGTTGTAAACCACAGGGCACAGACAATTAGTTACATATAGGCATGCTTTGTTCTACAGATTAATCAAATTTCACAATTCAAAAGATGTCTACTTTTTCCAAATTGGGTTCTTTTCTACTTACTGCAAAGGCTATATATGTTGAATCGAGCTAATACGAAGGACTACTTCTGTTAAAATAAATTTCCAGTGATGATTTTCCAATGTAACTATATCTTCCGGAGAAGGGTGAGAGACCTATGGGGTTTTAATACTCAAAAAAATAATTCATAATTAACTACTAACTACTGCTTTTGAACCTGAATTTTAGTTGAAACAGTTGATATACCTAATTAATATTTCCAAGAAACTGTACCAGGGAGTCATGTATAAGAGAAATAATCTCAAGGTCTAGTGGGAAATGATATGGAATGATGAACATGCATGGATTCTGTGGCGTACACCTGGTTCACATGCGCATCCATTTGGACTACTACACAAAGCTGGCCCATGATCTCGACAACCCTAATCATATATTTCCATGGGTAAAAAGCTCGTTAAGGTAAAGCTTAGATGGCCCATAACGTTATGCAGTGGTCCAGAAAGGACATCCATACAGCCCTAAATCCTTAATCCTCCATAAGTCCATGCATACTGGGCTGGGCTGCACATGCTGACCATCTGATGATCTGGACTTGCTAATAATATGGTTAAAATAAAAACGTGAATCAAATAACATCACCACCCATTAGCCGATTACTTCATCAGTTGACCATAACCCATCTGACTTATTCTGTCAGTAGTCCCAATTACAATTAGAGCAAGAAAACCCTTCCTTTTGCTTTAATGGTCCAAGCTAGCTAGGCACGTCCAACCATATCGGAGCTAGACCGAGTTGGCCATGAATATCAGATTAAGTGGTTCACGGTTCATGATACATAAGTTAATGAGAATGAGACCCATGTGATGTGAATTCCTTCCTTGCTCACCCCGGCCTGTCCGCCCTCTTTGGCCTTGCAGTTGACGAGTTGATTGATGCTCAGTGCTTGACGAAGTTTGCATTGTGGATGTTGCCTTGTGAAGCTGACAGAAAGAAAGAAAATTTGCACAGAAAGTAACCATACATCCACATTCTCTCTCTCTCTCTCTCTAATTACATTCATGTCTTAAACCAAGCTAGCTAGTTGATGAATCAGCCCAAGTTAAACTGGGAAAGGTCAGCTCCTGTTTGAGTTATTTTCATAAAATGATAAAAAATAATAATAATAATATATGTGGGAAAGAGTACTAGTGTTAAAAAATAAAAATTGTAGGACAAGAAATGTACGTAAATGATCTCTCGCGAGATGTAGATGTGGTCAATTGTCACAATTTCAACTGCGAAATCTGTGTAGCCGTTGGCTATTGCTTCCAGCAGCGTTGTCTCCATTCCACACGGACAAACCATGTACCCACCCATTCACATGTGTGCCCCTTTAATCATTACAACGCAACAATCCACCCATATAAACACCCTGCTCCTACCTTGTCTGTTGCTCTACTTCATATGTTGCTCGTCCTAGACTCTTTTTTTAGGTATCTACGGGCTTTGGGTTTTCTACCCCCCGCCCCCAATGCTTCTTCTATTTCCTTATTACTTGTTTCATCTAGTTGCCTAGCTAATCCCAATTTGTCTAATTTATCAAATTCTATTTAATCTAGGGATTACAATATTTATAAGTTGATAATTAATAAGTATTCACCCTGAACACTCAAAGTTCTCTCCTGAATCTCAACATTGAGCTATTGGTCTAGCAGTTGATCAATACTAAATACCTCCAATGGGTCAATCAAATCAATATCAAAATCTTAAAATAATTCCATAGCGAGATATGCCATACACAAACTGCCTAGCCGGTTTAGATAATACCTCACTCTTCCATTTCTTTGTATCATTCAAGATATTAGGTGGCATCCAACATCTAGAGTTAATTATTTTCTTAATCACAAAAGATTGCATCATGTTACAAGCTATGTCAGACAACTTTTATTATAAATGCTCTATGATTTGTCTTAATTTATTTGGAGAGTTCTACTCCTCTTTTTTTACATCACTGTTATTCAGGAAATGAATACTTGAACAGTTCTACTTGGTTAATTGGTGAAGTTACTTGAGGTGGTTAATTCTTTGAAAATTTGAGTTAATTTGTTGGGGGTGGGGGGGAGCTCTGTAAGGAAATCAAACAACTTTAAAAAGTTACAATTGAACAGTGTGATTTGATAAATCAAAATCATTGAATTTTCATTTTATTGTGGATTGAGGTGACTTGATGCTTATCAACGTGCTGATATTATGAACAAGACAAAAAAATGCAAAATAAATAGATAAGGCTGAATGTTCTTTGA